TAACCTCGACTTGCGTCTTCCTCGAATAGCGCTGTTTTCTACACGAACCATCAAGGCTGGAGAAGAGCTAACCTTTGACTATCAGATGAAAGGTCTGCAGACTTTAACGCTGTGCTTGCGGGAGGTTTGGGGCACTGGTGGGTTTTGTTGCAGTCTGACTGATGTTAGCATTTTAGGTCAGGCACTGCATCTCCCTAATGCAGCTCTGTGGATTCTAGAACAGACGTCGCTCATCGACGTGTAGCGCAGACAGAGCCCACCCAGAAGCTTTTGCACGCACCTCTAGTGCATTACCTCCTTCAGAACTCCTAGCTCACAGCAAGGGGTTGTGGTTGGAACATCTGGCAAGGCAAATTATTTTGAAGATTAGTCACAAGAATGCTCAAAAGAATGGTCAGGATACCATTAAAAAAAGCTTTCCTTTATTCAAAGGCATTTATATGGCATTTCAGGTAAACTGCATTCTAAGTAATCTGCTAGTGATAAAGACAGTTGTAACAGCTGAGTGGTCTAAGGCACCACAGGTTTGTCTTTGAATTCTGGTGTCTGTAGGCCTCAGTTGTGGATGTAGGTCCTGTGGTGCAGATGTTTAGGAAGGAAGGAAGAAAGATGGACCAAAGTTTACTATTGTTTTGCTGGGTTGGATACATTGATCATTATGCAGAGACTTCAGGAAACAAAGTTCCTAGCGAGATGCTGTCAGCTCTTTGATAAATAAGAAAGAAATTTTTTACAGTGAGAACCATCATTCACTGGAACAACCTCTCCAGGCGCGTGGTGGAGTCCCCATCACTGGAGGTTTTCAAGATGTGATTGGACAGGGTGCTAGATAATCTCATCTAGGCTCCCTTTCCCACGAAAGGTTGTACCAGATGATCCTTTGAGGTCCCATCCAACTTGGGCTGTTCAATGATTCTTTGATAATTGATCTTCCATTCAGTGTTCAAGGCCAGGTTGGACGGGGCTCTGAGTGACCTGATCTAGTGCAAGATGTCCCTGCCCATGGCAGGGGGTTAGACGAGATGGTCTTTAAAGGTCCCTTCCAACCCAAACCATTCTATGACTTCATTTTTTTCCAGTACAGTAAAAAATTCTTGAGGTTTGCTGGCAGGGGTGTTGTGTATGTAAAACTTTGCGTGCAAACCATTTATCCACAACAGCGATGTATTGTTGGCCCCGCTATTTAGTTTTCAGAGAAGCATCTCTATACTCCAGAGAGTATAGAGGAGGTACTCCAGAGCCGTACCTCATCCTCTCTTTAAGTGCTGGCAAATTGATCTTAGTTAAATACTTAAAACTCCTCTTTTTTGTGGTGTCTGTGACACCAACGTTCAAGGCAGGCTGCAGTCTCAGCTGACCGGTATGGATACAGACCTGAGGGTACAAGGCTCGAGTTTGTTGAGCTTTGGATTCTGATACGTGTGCTAGGGGTTGTGTAAGTCATTGTTAACGTGGGTGTCAGTAGAATTTGAGTACAGCTTCACACACAATTCTTTTAAGAACCGGGGTGTTAGAAGGCTTTTTGAAGCCATTTGACTACCTAGCACAGTTTCAGTCTGTCTTTTAAAACTTCCTTATTTGTGTTTATCTGTGTCACAGGTTCAATAGATCTGACTTCAGACTCTGCTGATGGCCTTAGCCCATCCAGAAAGAGGATCAGAACTGTCTGTAAATGCGGAGCTGTGTGTTGCAGAGGTTATCTCAACTGAGTGCGGGTATCCAAAGTCACAAGTACTTTGTTCTCTTTTAAATGTGTTTTAAGAAGACTCTTCTTTCACACATATATTCAAGTATTCTAATGTCTAATGTAAATAAGTACAGTGAAAACAAGGCATTACATTTGTAATGGAAGTGGCATTGGCCAAAGAAAGAGATGTAGTGTTTCAGGCAAATACAAAACTGAGAACGGGGATTAAAAATTGATTTTTCTAGAACTGTTATTTGGGAAGCAGTAAAATGTAGGCTAAGAAAACTCTTTAAAATGTACCTTCATGTGAATATTCGGGTGTGAGCTTACAGCCGTAGGCCTTTTAGGGACTGATTTAAGTGGGATGAAGCGATGTTACGTACTTTCTATACCTTGAAAAGTCTGGAGGCATTTGATTTGAATCCTGAATCGTAGCTGACAGTTCTTCTGCTTTTTCGTTGTCTAAAGAAAAACTTCAAGAGATTAGCAATAACATTTATGGCACCGGGTTGAAGGATTGAGGACAGCCATCAGACTGTGTCTAAATGAAGGTTCACAAGAATGCAAATTGTAAAATGTCCGTTGAACTCCACGCAAGTAAAGCAATTGGTTTTAGCAGATTCCAGATGTAAGGTCAAAGTCTCTTAACATTTTTAGCTGATGTTACATTATTTAGAAGCTTTACAGGTAGGGTGGGTTTTTTTTTCCCCCAATTGTTACGTTCTGATTTTTAGTTAGGATGCTATAGGAGGTCTGCAGTTCTACAGAGAATTTGTAAATACCGAATTATCGGTAGTAACATAAGCTGTTTGTTTTCATTGCAGAAATTTGGCAGTCATGGCGGAAACAAATTACTGGCTACAGTTTGGAAATAGATAACAAAAGAATAGGGAGAGCAGCCCATTGTCTAACAAAGCTGATGCATTATGGAGATATGCTCAGTTATCTGTTAGGTGCAAAAATACCCTGGGAATTGATTTGTATCCACAACTGGTTTTGATTAAGTTTTTACATACTGTGACTTTTTTTATCTAGTGACAGACTTTTAAGGTACTAGGCCTGTTTTTTCTTGTTGCAAAAATGTTAACTTCAGTGAAGTTAGACTAGGGGTGAGTTTACCCGTTTGCTGTAGACATTTGTAAGATGTTCTTGAATGTAAAGGCTGAGAAGTGTACTGTTCTTCAGCTGCTTGAGTCGTCTCTCTTTTTTTTTTTTTTTTTTTTCTTGATCATCTTAAAGTTGTCTCGATCTATTCGTAATGTATGCTAAGTTTTGCTTGGCTTCAGAAACACTGAAGAGCAGTTGAGGTAGGTTATGAGTGGAGTTACAGCCAAGGTTCACACTCCAGGGATGATTTAAGTGCTTTATTGTCATGGATTAAAAGCTTGTAAAACTTGCATATTGCTTACAAATCATGTAAATGTTGTTAGGGTCAGGCAGAATAATGTTGCTCCATAAATGGATGCTTCATAAATGGATGCGAGCTATGTATCATAGGTCAGCTAGTTACCTTTATAAGGTGCACAGCTGTCGGCTCAGGTGAATGAAGTCGAGTACCCAGCATATAACCGTTTACTTAATTTGTTAGAAAATGCCTTAAATGTCATGTTAATTACTAGCACTCCAAAAAGAGCGATTCAAAGGTTAATGCAGGTTGTTTGTTCATTAAGAAGCACAGTTGCATTTGCACTGATGAAGAGCCGGCTCTTTGGCAGAAAATGGAAATTTTATTTGCTACTAGCCAAAATCAGTTTCACGGTTGGGGTGGCGAGTGTGGCCATTGAAAGCGCTCTGTAAGTTTTGTAATCTGCAAGACAAACAGATACACGTTGAAATAGAGACTTTATATTCTTTAAGGAATAGGAGACAGTTTGCTTAAATTTAAAAGTATTTGACATTACCAGGCTCACCTTGGATAAATGCTGAATGAGGTCAATTTTTATCATGCCACATCTCTAATGATTTTTTTTTTTTATATGTGTATAAAGTTGAAGTGGAATGTGGAGCTTTAATGTTAGCAAACTCTAGATGATCTGACATCATTTGGAGTCATTAGTGCTTTCTCTTGCATGTAGCCCGATTCAGCGATGCATTCCACGTGGATGGAATCTGCAATCTCCAGCTCCTTAATCCGCTGCCGTCCGCAGCCTTCCCTGTCGGTACAGGATGGCGAGAGTGGCTGCGGCAAGAAATGGATTCCTTACCAAAACAGTTTTTCTGGCCTCTCCTGTACAAGACGACACGGGGCTGGTTTGACACTCTTTTTGTCTATCTATGTCCATGCCCAGTTTGATTTAAAAATTGCAAGTAAATGCATTTTAAAAGGTAAAAGTCGTAGAAGTTGTACTTGAGTTCAGCGTCTGCCTTTTTCCCGAGGCAGGGTATGTTACCACCAGCATTGGAATAACGCTGCTGTTCTTTAAGGATATGTGTGTTACCTCTTGGGCGATAAATAAAGGACCATTAATTTATGTTCGGGGAGGTAACAGTATATTGTATTTATTTGAAGTAAACCCAAGTTTCCAATTTAGAGCCTTGAGCAGTATTTTATATTTATGTATTCACAGTGCATTTGGATTGCAGAGAGTGAATTAGCTTAATGGGACACTGTGTCACTTTTAAAACTCCTTTTGCTGTTTTTACGAGTTCGGGGGAAAATTGCCAAATTGGAAAAGGAGAAAAAGCTATTTTCAGTTTCTTAAGGAGCCTAAACCAGCCTAGCTTCTGCCTTTGTTTTGCTTTGTGGTCTGTTAGCATCATCATGGCCACCAGCTCAGTTGTGTGTATGCACTTCTTCGAGACTGGTAACCTGTGATCTGTCCTCCAGCTGTTCTTTTTTGTTGGGTTTAATTTTTTTTTTTTTTTTTTTTTTTTTTTTTTTTTTTTGGGGTAGCAAAACTAAAGCTGGGTAGCAAAACTAAAGCTGCAGGATCACCTGTAAGAAAAGCTATTGTTTATTTATTTAATCTCAAAGTTGAGTCAATCTTTTTGTTATTTCTAATGTATGTTTTAGGACTGTATACATTAGAATATGCAGTTTGTAAGCTCAGGAACATTTTCTTTTCATAACGTGTGATCTCTAGTATTGCTATCTTCCTATAGTTTTTGATAAAATAAATTGAATTTAGTTTTTCTCTTGTTGTTGTCATTCTTAACAAAAAAAAAAAATCTTAGCCTGTCAAAATCAGCTGTAGCTGTAGCAGTAGAATTTGCTTTAAGACTGCAACCTCTTAATTCCTGTCCCGTACCCAAATTTTCTAGCACGGTAAGGACTGTAGCAGAGCGATCATGAGGAAGTCGTGTGTTTCCTATTCGGTTTATGGCTGGTAAGAACTGGTATAAATTTACACTGTTGACTTGTCTAAAGCAGACTGGGTTCCTGTATATTTAAGCACGCTGTAAACGCAGCCGGAACTTACATGTACGGTACAGTTAAGGAAACAAGCCAAGAGGAGACATTCTGCGCTGTATGACTTTATTCACAGAGGTAGTTACAACAGGAGTTTCACTCAAGCTTGCTAAAAAAAAAAAAAGAGTTGATAGACCATGTTTGGAGATTATTTTAGCAAACCCCAGGAACAGAGTGGGCGAGGTGACAGTGGAGAACTACATGGACTTGAATATCCTTAAAACCATACATAGATGATAGCTGATAGCAACTTTTCTTTTTTTGGGCATCCTGTCCTGTCCTCCCCCCCGCCACTGTTCCCAATAGCAGAATGCTGGCTGGTTTAACGTTCACGTATCGCTAAAGATGGCAGAAGGACTGAAGACATGCTCGGAGGGGAGAGCTGTCACACTGAAAGTCTGTTTAATTCGTTGGGACTTCAGACCACATAGATGGGAAGCCTCATGGATTTTTAGGTGACTTCTGCTGTTTAGGCATTTTTGTAGGCAGCGCGGTTTAACAAAAACCTGAATGAAATTTCCCTTTTAGAAGCTAAGAATTTTGGCTTAGTTATGATGGCACACGTGCATAGAGAATCTATTGTCTTGATTTAAAAAAAGAAGTCTAAACATGTCTGAACTCAATGAAGTCAACGGAATGTTGCAGAGGAGGAGGAATTTGGTAGTGTAAAAGAGCCTTGAGTAACAATCACCTGTCCAGGGTAAGAGGTTCCCTTCTGTTGCTGTGACTTAGCCTCCAGAGCAGGCTACTGCTGGTGGCTTTGGAACCAAATGCCGCGGGATTTGATTTTTATGTGGTTCTGAAAAACAATTCAGAACAAGCCAAAACACGGAGGAACTGATGACAAGTTGTTTGCGGCGAGTTAAGATTTAAACCATAAATTTAAACCATAGACAATGTATGTTGTACACAGTACCTCATTCGGGAGTTAAATTGGATGACACCATTTGCTCAGTGTAAAGAGAGACTGCTTGAAAAGAACAATTTGATTTAAAAAAAAAAAACACAACAAACCTTTCTCAGTAATTCTCTAATCTGTTCTGCAGTTGTTTTTAAAAATAACTGCAGTGAAAACACAGGATTAAAGTCGAAGTGCAACTATGTCGTTGCTAAAAGATGTCATGTTCCTCCCCAGTTAAAGATGTGGTATTTTATTAAAATCTGAGATCACATATACATCAAAGGCAAACTCGTAGAGCTCATGATAGAGAGAAACACTAAATTTCATTTAGTGTTCTACCCGTAGTTTTGTCTGGTCCATTTTTTGCGTACTTGCAGTCCCCGAGAACTGAACCTCGAGAGGCAGAAGGCTTTTACAGTCCCTCCTAGGAATACTTCCTTTTCAGTATTTCATGGAAGGAACCATAAAGTTACACAGGCTGCAAATTTCTAGTTCTGACAGCAAGGTATTTCTGAAAAAACTGCATGAATTAGCATAGCTGCAGATAGTAATCAGCACTAAGGAGAAAAATAATTCTGGGCTTAATAAACAAATTTTGGTATTTATTTTCATGTTGTCATCAGTTATACCTGTCTTCAGGAGACTTTCTTCTCATTGAGTATGCTTTCACCTGCCGCTAGCTTCTTATATAAACAGTGCAGTTTATCTGGCTGAGGCACTTCAGCATCAGGAGTCAAGGGAATTTCGAAGTCAGAGGAGCTCTGCGAGTCCCTCCTCAGTTCTAGATCAGGAGTCCTGGAGCTGTCACTCGTTTCCCCCAGCACATCTTGAACGTGAGCAGTGCCGGCTTCTGCATCTTTCTCGCGGCCTTTGCTTTTCAAGTCACAGGCAACGTCATCGGCACACGATCTATTTTGACCCACTGGCTTCCACCTACTGTTGTCAGGCTGACTGTCTTTGGCGGTCTCCTGCAATACAGAAACAACCGCTCTGCTCCCACCTTTGCCGAAGCAGCTCAAGTCCAAGGCGTTTCTCTCTTGGGAGGTAATGAGGACTGTGTCCGTTTGGCTATCCCAGCCCTGGCTCCCCTGCTCCGATATGTGCGTCGACTGAGAAGAATTTTGGGAGGAGATGTGCGTTGAGTCGCTTACTCCATCCAAATCACTGAAGAGTGACTGGGACCCACCAGCATCTGCTGAAGATGGGAAGTTGTCCTCATTTTCAGAGCTTTCTTCTAGTTTGTTACACTTAAAAAATGCATCCCAGCGAGGGACGTCGGCATTGGACTCCTGTTGGTCACTAGTGACTCCATTGAAATTTGATGTGGAAGTGGCATCTGGCTCAGGGGAAAGAACTTGAGCTGCATTTTTTTCAGATTCTTCTTCATCTTCATCATCATCATCATTTGATTCCTCGCAGTCTATGAAGTCTACCTTGGAGGAGGTGTAAGTTGTGGTCGCTTTGTAACTTTCTGTGCTGTCACTAATATTTCCTTCAGCATTTTCAGGTTGTTCTGTGCTGGAGGGCCTGCTCTCTTCTCTCTGCTCTTTCGGAACCTTAGGCCTTGCAGAAGTTAATTCTGTATCAAAGAGATCATCTTCGTCTGTCAAGAAGAGAACAGGAAAAAAAAACCAGTAAGAAAAGTTCAGATCTCTGATAAAATTCTGTTGAGAGCAAAGTTCTAATAAAAATTCATTTAGTATGAAGAGAGGAAAAAGTTCTTTAACCCAGACGGAGACTTAGCAGGACCGTGTTTGCCTTGCCTGGTCTAGCACAGCGCCTTACAAGGACAGCTGGTAGTTGTCATCCTCCATATAAGCTACAGCAGATCAGATGTAGCCCTGGTAGACAGATTTATTCAGACCTCTTGACGTGTTTTGCCAGGACCGCCTCACCCTTGCACGCTTGTCACTTCAGAAATAGCCAAAGAGAACGCAGCAGGCCCAGAGTTTTCTTCTGGTTCCCGAGTGGCCTTCCAGAGGCTGTGTACAGCATCCGTTTACCATCGTAAGTTAAAAAAAGCTACTAGGTGCTAAAAAGCCAGCAGTGTGAGATAACGAAGAGGAGCGATTCCACTGATAGGCCACTCTGTCCTCCACAACACAGGAGGTGATGCAAGTAAAGTTCCATTAGAACCAGCTTTACTAGGGATGGTCTAGGGCTGTGGAATGGAACTCTTCTAGAAACTTAAAGGGCTGTTAAGCATTAAGTACATTTTAAGATCACAAACAAGTACTCTTTTACACAATTAGTGCTTTCTCCTAAAACCTAAGTTCACTTAATTTATATTTCGCCTTTCTAACCGTTGCTTTGAACACAGACAGACTATGATGAACACCATGGCTTTTGGCACCTCTGCTTAGTCTCAGACTTTCATTTAAGGCACAGTAGCACCAGCAGAACCTTTACCTGTATCAGATAAGTCTCTCTTGTGGACTCTCTTCAGTGTTCCTAAGGGCTTGTACCTGGGTTCCATGTTTCTCCTGTATGACCTGCATAACGGCTTCAATCTGAGGTGAATGAGAAAAGCGATTAATATTTAGAACCCGGCAGATACTTTCAGGAGCAAAAGTAAATCTTTTAACTTGATCTAAGAACACCGCTCCATGCCTTTCACAGGCACTGCAGTGAAATTGTTAAAGGCGGCAATAGCTAGGGAAAAGTTCTTAATTCATTGGTGAGCTTAGGTAGCTTAAAGGTAGACATCTGTAATTTCTATACATTTACCTTAAAACATGTACACCATTTGGAAAGTTTTAGTCCCTTGCTTAGAGAAGACAAGATGACAGGGTTCAAAATCTGACTGCGGTTTTATTCAATAATTGTAAAGTATCTCCTTTCTTATTAAGGAGGAAAAGAAAAAGGAACAAATAAACGAGTTGCCGTTTGTTCAGACCGAGTGACACCACTAGTCTTCCGCTCCATAAGAGCGCTTTCTAAGCTGCCAACGTCTCTAACAGCACAAGAGTACAGGCCTCTGTGATGCTGTACAGAGGTGAGGAGTTCAAGTCCCCAGAGAAATCCTCTTTAAAAGAAACTTCTGAGAAGTAGCAGTGACAAATAGAAATAGGTCACAGAATAAAGTGAGATGAATATGTATTCAGATTCCACCCAAACAGAGTTTAACAGCAGAAAAGCCTCTATGCATAGATATAAGTAGTGTGTGGAATAAAAAACTCTCAGACTTGGCACAACATACAAGTGTTCTTCAGAAAGCTGAAGTTTGCAGGACTGAACGTAGGAAAAAAAATCTGAATTATCAGACAAGTAAAGCAAAAGGCAGTAGCCTGCTTGAGAGGCTGGGATTCAGGAGGGGAGTTGTCCTTACAAGAGCAGAGATCAGATCACCTCCATTCAGCAGCCACTTGTCACTTACATTTCCATAACTTTGTCTTCTGTCCCACCCACTGGCAGTACATTGGGATACACATTCACAGGACGGATATAGCTTAGGAAATCCTTAATCTAAATTGAAGAAAAGAAGAGGCAGTGTAACAAGTTACATCAACAGCTAATAACGTCACTTAACGGCAGCACTGATCAAAGCACACGCACAGTAAGTACTACCAGTTGTCTCATGTGAAGACCAGTATGACCCATGAGCCAAACTCTATCAAAGCAGATAGCTCCATAATGAGAAAACAGGTCTGAAGGGATGCTGAGAACTCAGCCTCACCTAACCCCCTCACAGCAATTATCAACTATTACGCAGACCATCACTATCTCTGAAAGACAAGGCTAGACAAACCTGTTCCTAGGGAATCTGATCCAGCGCTTCACTGTTCTTACTGCTGCAGATCTTTTCAGACCTGCATTTTTCTTACTGGGCTTCCAAGACCCTAGTTGTGCAGATCAGAGTATTCCCTTCCTCAAAGACTTTTCCTAACGTCTCCCTTCAGTCCACTATAAAAGCCCATATGACAGAACACGTCACTTTTTCCAAGCTGTACTCTGTTGTCTTCTAGATGCTCTCCAGACAGTGAATTTCTTGAAGAATTGTGTCCAGTTTGGGGCATTCCACTCCAGCTGAGGCTTTATCAGTGCTGAGCACTGAAAACCCTTGCAAGTTTGCAGATTACACTCCTATCTATAGAGACCAGTAGGACCCATCTGGTTTTGCATGTGGAGGTATGAGTCTGTTACAATACACTACCCCCCGTATTCTGCCAGCAAAGCTGCCACGTTGTATGTACTACGCTGGTACCTCCATTTAAAATTATGCATGGCACAGCAAATTAAAACTTAACCAGGATCTTAAAAACAGGACTGTCTTCCTAGGGCTCTGAATAATCTCCATTTTGTAATGTGCAAGGCTTTGTGACGGGTTAATTGTTAGCACTGATCCAGTTTCAGTTCAGTTTCTCAGGAGAGAGAAGTATTTTAAGAACTGGATTGAGTCATATTAAATGAAAGTGTGTGATTCTGGAGAGGATGCTGCCATGACCTTTTAGTCTTTAACACAGAAAGAGGAGTAACAGTGGCAGCTATGACGTGAGAAAATTCTGTTTAAATGTGTGGGCAGGGAAAAGGTGGCAAACCCATCCAAAACGGAGTCACAGCAGATAAACAATGTACTGAAAACCAAAATTCCAAGCTTTAAGCATTGCATAGTTACACAGTAATCTAAAATGGAAAGGCAGTCAAAACAATTGTAGCAGTGACCAATACTTCAAGAAAAGAGAACAAAAAAAAAAAAAAAAAGGCTTGTAATCCAGCCCTACCTTGACATGTTCTTCCACTGCTATATTAAAACAGACTTCTCTGTCCTCAGCATCCAGAACTTCCTATCCCCTTATGTCTTATTACCGAAAAGATTTTTTTTTTTATTGTGACAAGTCATGTCATCCAAAATAATAAAAACCTTTTTTTTTTAATCAATGTATACTCTGTACTACAAGTATACAAACCTCGCTGTATGAAGAGTGGAAAGAGAAACAAGCTCTGTACGTACTCTCCCCAGTCCTAAAAAAAAGAGGAGGCACAAAAATTAGGCAACTGCTCTTCATCCTCAGTCAACAGGCAAGCATAACCTACTCTTAAAAAGTCCATTTTGAGATTCAGTTTTACAAGCGTCAGGCAAGATACGCACCTGAAACAACAGGTTTCTGCATGACCCAAATGCTCACCTCACTATTACGTTGGTTTTCTTGATCCTTTCTCCAAACCACATGGTGGAGGGTTTGATGCTGATTACGTGCAAGGGAGTTCCTTTTTGGCAAGTCATCCCACAGGGCAGCCTGCTCCATCGAAAGCAGTCATCATCCTGCCAAATGCAATACAAAATTAAGTGTAATCCTGACCTTTTTTCCCCCCAGAAATTGAGCAACATAGTATCTAGCTAGACCCAGTTTTCATCTCACTTCCAGTTTCTTTGAAACACTCTTTGCTGTTGCATCTTGCTTCCCTAGTGCAGCTGACAAAGTAAATCAATCACAGAGACCAATGCCCCAACGTGCCACCTCCAGTTCTACCTGCACTCCTCCCACTTGAGCCTTCAGCTTGGTGGACGTCCCGGAAAGGGAAGGCCATACACAGTGCATGGCTGCAGGAGATGCCATACAAGCTGCCTTTGATATATTTAAATGGATAATACCTGACTGATCTAATCTGCTGCCTGTCTTACTTCATCTAAAAATACAATTTTCAAGTTTCAAATGCAATTAAACTGTTTCTAGCATCAGCAAATTTTTTTTTCTTTTTTTTTTTTTTTTAGAAAACTTCAACCCACTAAGGTTCTCACTCTCCTTTGCATTAAAGCCACCGTTTGGCCCAAGTCGTCATTAACACAATAGGACCAAAATATTAGCACCTACAACCAGTCTTTCACAGCAAAGTTAGCAGAAGCTTTGCAAAACGATACACACCTGAGGATGTCGACAGGCGTGAATCTGAGTGTGTCGATCTGTAGTAACGTGGTAGAGGATTTCTGGCATGTTTCTGAACATATCAAGTTTGTTCACATGCACCTAGAGAAAGGCAGAATTTACTCTCAATTAGCTCAAGGTGTTTGCCAGACTGCAGCTGGAGCAACTATACGGATGTGGTTCTGCTCACAACAAATGCTGGTAGGCATTCAAACAGCTACTACCCACTAATAATGTCCAAGCGGAGAAGTGTTAGCCAAAAGTAACTTGGACATCTAGAACAAGCAGAACATACCTCCTATGCTGAATAGGGATGAATGTTCATCAAAGAAAGTCAGAATGTATCTGCTAACTATTAATGTCATGTAAATGATAAGACCTTTATCATTCACAAGATAAAAGGGAGAGAGGTAAACACTGAGCTTGAAAACTGGGGATTAACTTCTCCCCGGAAAGCCCAGATGTTCCGGACTGAAATCAACTAGTTAACTCATTTTGGGCACAACTGTAGCTTTTTAAGTGTAGTTAACGAAAGCATGCACATCTTTCACATACAGCAGTCCTCTGAGCAGCCATTTCCAGCTCGGTGACTGGCCACAGTCATTCCTGAGGATCTATTCTACAGCAACAATTACAGAAATGTTACCTTGATTCCAAGTTCCTCACTGAGGTTTATGAATAAATATTCATATCCGTAAGCAGCTTTGCAGTTCAACCACACAACATGATAGCGAGTTAGTGAGGTCCAGCTTCGCACTAACTCTAAGATCCCATTTAAACACTCCTCCTGAAAAGTTTAGAAAAGGTTGTGAATCGTCTTTGAAGATACTTCCAAAGTGCTTGATTTGGTAATGCAAAATGGCATTGCCTTGCAAGACTTACCTAACAAAGGGGTGGTTAATTAATTAGCAGTGTTAAGGACCCTTCCTCTCACAGCTTATTTAGACTTACCCGGCTTGGTATATGATAAAATTTGGGATCACAAAAAGTGGTATCCAAATACACACTCTGGATGTCTTTTACTCTGAAAGAGAAACGTGGTATCAGAGTGAGCAGTGCATCACAGTACTAAGATATACCACTTCCTCTCTCTTCAAAAGGAGGCAATTCTTCCTCTTTATTACAAAGAGCAAGTCAAAAGGGATTTGTAACTGCAGTATTGCCTGACTGCAAATATATTTAATCCAGAATAAAAAATGAGGAAGAAGAGTACGTTATTCCTGAATTGTCCATGCCTGTGTGATCTTTTATTCTTTCTAAATCCCATGAATAGCTGAAGCCTCACCTGGTCCCCGAATGCAAAAGCTCCATTCTGGCTGCTTCTCCTTTTGCAAGCCGGAAATCCCCTGTATACAGCACAGTGCCATTTTCACCTTCAAACAAAAACCTACAAACAGAAACACTTTGGTCAAACTCAACAATATAAAGCATTAAATGCCAGGTGTTGGTTTGTTACCTTGCTTAGAGCAGTCTACGTGACTAATGTATGATGTAATAGAAATACTGGGCCTAATTTGGTCCTAGAGTAATTTCAGATAAACCAAATCATTCAGACCCAGTATGTCTGGAAAATAACCTGTGCCCAGACTGGTCAGAGTTGAAGACAAAAGCCTCACAGATTCTGTGAGGTAGTCCAGCTGTCTGTTGCAGCCAAAGGAATCTGTTAGGCACCTGTACCAGGAAGCTGAGCACCTTCTTTTTAACATCATACTTAAGCAATGGATGATTTATTTTTAATCACAGTTTTGTATGTCATTTTTAAGTACAGTTGAAATCGATAAAGTTGTTATTCACAGGCATGGGGAAAAGTAATCTGCCCCACCAAGGTAACAACTTCTGCCAGGACAGATCCCAGATAGTACAGTGGTTTTCCAACCTTGACCAAAGCTGGTGGGCCCTGCCACAACATTATTATCTCCAAGTAAGAATTTTAAATTCACTAGCTTTTTCTAGTCACAAAAAACCCAGTACTTAATGAGAACTCTATAGGACAAATCTCTCAGCAGAGACATTTAGAGTATTGAAAGGACGTACATGACTGATCCTGGACAGTGACCAGCTGGCAGAAGTGTCACCTCTATATCTTCTTTCTGGAAGAGATGGTTAGCGTTATTTTCACACTGTAATAAGTACAACCAGTACTTTCATTGACACAGTGAAAGCAATGCATTACTCCCCACAGCCTCTTGCAGAATTTAGCAATGCTTTTGAACAAAGAGAAAGTCTCTTCCTATTCCAACAAGCCCTGAAGAGCAATGACCATCCTGTCATGCCAGAAGAGATGACTGAATATTGTATGGTGGTCATGAAAGCCACTCAGCCAGAAGACAGTCCTACTTCCTTGGTTCCTGGTGAACAAGCATCATGGAAACATCCTGGAATACACTCTGCCTGGAGATGCTCCTCCAGGCCTGTACCTGACCTTTAAGTCCTGCACTTAAAACTTGTTAAAATAAGCCAGGAAATACGAGGTGAAAAAAATCACAAGAGAAAAAGGTAAGTTGGAGATCACTAATACAGTGGAAAAACATTACCAGAAAAATGCTATGATAATAAGAACAAAGTGGGGAAGAAGAATTCATGTGGCTACACATCTTGGAGAGAGGAAGGGGAACATACATTTTAAAAATAGCTTGTCCACTTCAGATGTTACAGGTAAGATCCAATTCCCATGCTCATTTAAACAGTATTCCTTCCCATTACAAATATATGAATCTTTTTTTTGTGACTTACCTCACCAGATGTTTCATCCACTAAAGAAATCTGAGTTGGAGTTTCAACTTCCAGTGCAACCTGTAACAAAATGAATAAATGCACTACAGGATTTACTAAACATTTTGTTTCACGCTTATGGCTAAGTATTCATTACATAGACATCTTTACAACAGACTACAGCTAATGCTAAGCCTGTAAAATTAAGCCCATTTTCCTATAGTAAATCATGAATTTACATTTCCAGTGGAAAAAAAAGTTTTCTAAAAGTTGTCTAAAAATTAAATGGAGATACCCTAATCAAGGTGTGTGTGCCTAAAAGAGTTCAAACATGTTGGACTTCTAACAGCAACAGTTCAGGTTTCTCTAGCTGGATCATATGCCTTATTTTTGGATGACTACAAAGCCCAAGACATCCCAGTCCCAGAGCACACCAGTGGACCTTGCTCGGACAGGTCTCTCTGCTGCAGCACAACTTCTCCTCACTGTTCCCTATTACCAGAAGCAGAGCCCACAAATCACATGCAGCAGGTATTTCTGTGTTTGTGTAGGGGTGATTAATCTATAGACTGCAATTAATCCCCTATTTTGCCATACCCTCTACTAAAACAGAGTCCTGCAACATACATGCTCTGTGGCTGCCTGCAAGGTTAGCACTGCTATGCAGGCTCCTCTCCCATCCAACCTGGGTTTTTTTCCTTTCATAGAATCATAGAATCATTAAGGTTGGAAAAGACCTCCAAGATCATCGAGTCCAACCGTCGACCCAGCACCACCATGCCCACTAAACCATGTCCCTAAGCGCCTCATCTACACCTCTTTTAAATACCTCCAGGGATGGGGACTCAACCACTTCCCTGGGCAGCCTGTTCCAATGTTTAACCACTCTTCCAGTAAAGACATTTTTCCTC